TTTAATTGCACCTGAACGTCATACCCTGCATCACATGAAGTCCAGCACGTGTGCGAGGCTTAAACTAAACCAGCGGGCAAGGGCCACCGTCCCCGTCAGGGTACGTGGCTGCCAGCACACAGACCAGCAGGAGTGCCAGGGTCCTTCCATACTGAATATCAGTAAAGCCAATTTCCCCCTCACTTTCATTTTATTTTTTTTAAAGATTTTATTTATTTGTTTGACAGAGAGACAGCAAGAGAAGGAACACAAGCAGGGGGAGTGGGAGAGGGAGAAGCAGGCTTCCCACCGAGCAAGGAGCCTGATGCGGGGCTCGATCCCAGGACCCTGGGATCATGACCTGAGCCGAAGGCAGATGTTTAACCGACTGAGCCACCCAGGTGCCCCAATTTCCTCTTCATTTTTAAAGAAAAATACTTGTGAGTGCAGTTTCTCACCATTCCTTTTGTCCAGCAGATGGTGTCTCACACCCTGCCTGGAGGCTGGTGGTAGGCTTGGCTGGCGGGGACCACCCTCTAAATGCACCTGCTGCTTTCCTCCTATGCTTTACAGTGTTGACTCTTATTTAGACTTTGCATCTGCAGAATCCACTGAAATAGACCTTTTCACATGTTTACTGTGCACCCCCCCAAAAAAACACACACACCCCAAAAGATGAGATCATGTGCCGGGTAAACAATCAGACAAAACACCTGGAGATCAGCATTACTGCCCATGTGGGTGCCCCCTGCCCGGCACACTGCCTTGGCACAGCATCCGAGGCCTTGGTCGGCTTCCCTTTCTGGCTCATTCCCGCTGCTCCCCGCCCAGGTTCTCGGAACCACGGGCTGCTCCCCACACACGCTCTTCCCCTCCACCCCACCCCCCAGCTACCAGGATACTCGACACCGGTCTCCGGTGTCCCCCACTCCCGGAGGCTTCCCAGAGCGTCCCCTGCGTCACACACACACACACACACACACTTGATTTCAGTCCTCTCCAGAATCTCATGATGCCTCCTTTGGCTCCAGCTCCAGCGATTACAGTTCACAGACGTGTTCGTGGCCTGTGAGCATCTTGGGGTGGGAACGTTATGATTTCCACTTCTGCACCCTCAGCACCCCTTGCACAGCAAACACTGGGCAGATGTTTGTGGGAGGAATCAATGCTTTTTTGTCTTGTGTGTCATAGAAGACCGCAGATTCTACCCACAAGCATTAAGTACCTATTTGGAGTGGACACACATAGACCTTTACTACCACTCACTGTAGTGGACTCCCCGTGTCGATAAGGAAATGCTTTCCTAGCTGAGCTGGGTCCTCACCAGCCTCGGTCCTCAGGAAAAGTGCCAAGTCCTGGCCAGTGCCACCAGTAAGGCCCTGTCTCTATTCCACACCCATGGAAAGAGGGTAAAGCTGTGCTTGTCTGCCCTCTGCATGACGTGTGGAGGCCCAGCTTCGTGGAGACCCCTCCTTCTCACCATGCCGTCCTCCAGGCCTGAGCAGACTCAGGCTTCCCTGGAAGGAGATGCACTGAGCTTGGGATGTGACGGGAACTCGTGACATAACAGGGTGAGTGCCCTGCCCCGGGGCCCTGTCCACTTCCGCTTGCTGGCCTTCAGGCTTCCTCAGGAGTGACCTCTCTAGAAGCATTAACACTGCTGTGTTCCATGTATGCTGAAATAACCTATTTTGCATGGGCACATGGACAGTGTCTGACAGATTCAAGCCTGTAATGAAGAAAACCACAGATGAGGAAGCTGAGGTGTCTGGGCTCTGAACATGCACCCGAGTGGCCACAGGGGCTTATAACTGGCACAACCCGTAACTCTTGTACTCACGAAAGTTACTGGAAAAGCCCTCGGTAGAGGAATCCTGCGTGTCATCACAAGAGCTCCCCGAAACCAGCAGGCCACAGGCCACAGGACGCACTCACTCTGGACCAGTTCAATCGCTCACCTAAAAAGCAAACACTGAAACACTCAACACTTTGTGTAACGTTTAATATTTTAACAGTGAGCAAACAAGCCTTTTAGTAGGGAAAAAAAAAAAAAAGCTCTCCCTTCCCTTCCTGGCTCTGTCCCTGGAGGAGCAAAGTGAGCCCTGGAGGGGAAGTTCTCAGCCACTCTTGTGGGGCGGAGGCGCTTCGCAAGTGGCCCCCGCCTGAATGTTTACCTTAGAGTAGAAGGCGTGGGGCTGGCTCTGCATAACCTCTTCTGGGGACTCTGTGCCTCAGTGTCGAGTGTTTTGAGGAACATTTAACTTCCTTTCCTCGTGTACATTTGCTTTCATAACCAGAAAGTTGTCCAGATTTTGTAATTCTGGGAATCTCCTTTAAATTCCTTTCTGCTCAAACAGAACAGATACAAGTAAGGCGTTCTGTAGGACTTGGGATGCGGCCTGGCATGCACAAGGCAGCCGGTCGGGTGCTGGAGGGAGACCAATAAATACCCACGAAGGTGGCGGGGCTCAGGGGATAGTTTCTCTGTTTGTTTTCCAAGGGTGCATCGTGGGAGCAATGCATACAATTTTATAAAGATTTTATTACTTTTCATAGACCTGGCTCACAGCTTTCTTGCTGTGTGATCAGGACTGGGTTCTTCCTCCTCCTTTCCTTCCTCCTCCTTTCTTCGTCTGTAAGAGGTGGTGATGGCAGAAGCAAGGCCTAGGTGAGCGTGTCTAATGTGAAAGCTCCTTCTATTTCCACGCATCAGGAGGGAACAAAGACTCACCCTTGCAGTATCTGTTTCTCTGCGTCCATATTTCTTTGTTATTGGATCTGCTCTGTTTTAAGTAACACACTTGCGATCTGTTTTGGTCTCTTCACTTTTTAACTTGGTGAGAGGTGCTTTTTGGTTATTTTCCAAATTATGCTCTAGCGCCCTCCTTTTGCCCAGAGGTCCCGGTAGAGTCATGCCAGCAAGTCCTGGGCCCTTCCTGATGTCCCGTGAGGCGTCCGTCACCACGCTGCACTCAAGAGGCCCACAGGCCCCACCCCAGAGCTCTGGTCACAGAGCCGCCTCCTCCCAGCCAGTCCTGCTGTAGCCCCAGAGGGAGACCGCGGCCAGGAGCCTCTCCCAGGACACAGGTCAGTGCACGGGTGCTGCTCTCAGCCTCGTAGGGACTGTGGGAACGTGGTCAGTCTGTCTTTCTGTCCCCCCATCTCCTCGAGCCGGAGAGACAGGAGTAAGCACGGGGATGTGTCCTTTCCTGGCCAGACTTCTCCAGAAGTCTGACCAGAAGACTTCTTTGAACTGTGACCTTTTTATATTCCCCTCTGGGGAGAGGAAGAAGGTTCACCCCGGTCAGGCCCGGTCACATCGTGGGGATGGCAGGCCCTGCTAGAGGAACTGCCATCCCCCGTCTGACCTAAGCACTTCTAGAAACCTTTGATAAACCACAGGCCCTCGTGGGCCTCATTATTTTTTATTCTTTTATTATTTATATTCTTTTATTAACTGTCCGCAGCTGATTTTACGACACTTTTTCCACCTTGTTAATTTTGAAAGAATTTGGATCATTTGTTAAGTTGACATTTAATAGCACTTCATGCTACTTTAGCTTTAATCTCTTCACAGTTTAACCACATGGTTAATTAAAAGCATATTTTAGGTTGATTTGTAAATAACTTCTTGCAGTTGTGTTCTCTACAAGTATTCACTGAGGACCCTTAAATGCGTGAATTTTGAGTAACTATCATCAGACAGATATGGACAGCCACATCGTTTCCAAAAAAACCAAGAGTTTAATTTTAAAAAGAGCTTCAGTGGAAATGACTTTCAACTGATTGGGGCCAAATGTAAAGTTGGCCTTTCTGAGAAAACACCAAGGAGCTCTCAAGGCGGGTCCTCTGGGCATTCACTAAGGGACGTTTGTCTGAGGGCTTGTGCTCTCTCAACCCGCCTGGCGGGTGGTGTGGGGCTGCATCCACCCACCCGCACATGGAGTCAGTTCACTAAGCTCAGAACTTCCCGCGTACGTCACACAGGCTTCTCCTCACTTTCAGGACCGTGAGCACCAGGGGCCTATCTCCACTCCCCCTGCGCCCTCACCGCCGTGTGGACAGGAACCAAGTGCTCTGGGGGTGGGGGGGGCCTCCACCTTTGCCGCCCGCGTGCCCACCCTGGGTGGGCGCAGCCCCGTCCACCCCCGGGCCTTCATGCCCGCAGCTTCCGGAACACAGTGGTGCCGTGTCCTGGGCGTCGTGGGGTCTTCCTGAGCTCCTTCAGACCACCTCCTTCTGCAGCAGGTGAGTGTCTCATGCGCACTGGGCTCCGTGTCTCTGCCACTCACACTAGAAGTCTGGGGAAATGCATTTCCCCAGGTGGAGGGAGGTCTTTAGAAATCCCCTTTCTCGTTTCTGCTGGGTCTCCCGTAGGACAGCCTCTCTACAGCCCTGCGCGGCCATATGTGCCAGGTTTAAACATAATACTCCTACATGACATGGGGCAGATTTTCTCTGGAGGAAAAGGACCACTGTCACGTGGAGGCCACATACCAATGCTCATGGTTAAAGCAGGAAAAACTGGTCCTGAGGGCCATCGTTCCACCCACGGGTCTGCCTACCACGTCCTGTCCCCCAGTCAGCCAGGCTGGCAAGGGCCCCCTCCCGGGCCTTTCCTCCCCGCCCCACAGCTCTGGGCCAGCCAAGTGTGCTTTCACTGGTTCTGTGACCATGGCCGTGGCCGGGGTGGCCAGTTGGCGGGAGAGGGGTGCAGGGGGGATGCGCAGAGAGGTAGCACATTCATCTGAACCATGGGGGCACCTGCATGGCGTCTTCTGCAGGATGAGAGCCCCTCCAGCAGCACATGGCCATAGAGCCCGTCACTGAGGGTGTGTCTCTGCAGGAGACCGGCCACTGCCTAGCAGCGTGCTTTCTCCGTGAGCAGACGGAGCAGAGCTGGTGTCTTTCTCTGGTGGCAGACAGGACGTGGGGACGCGGGAGGAGGGCTTGTGTCTGAGGGGGGTCTCCCGCCCCGGGGCCCCCAGGTGCACCGCGGCCGCTGCATACCCGGCCTTCCGTCGGCCTGAAGATGGCCGTGCTCAGGCAGCTGGTGCTCCTGCTCTGGAAGAACTACACTGTGCAGGTAGGTGCGTGCCCCCATGCGCCGGGCCCCAGGAGGGGAGTCCCGAGGGAGGGCCCCGTGACCCCTGCTGGCCTCGCGCTCCCCCAGCCGGTGCCTTCCCTTTCTCTTGCAGAAGCGCAAAGTCCTGGTGACCGTCCTGGAGCTCTTCCTGCCCTTGCTGTTCTCTGGGATCCTGATCTGGCTCCGCTTGAAGATCCAGTCGGAAAACGTGCCCAATGCCACCATCTACCCTGGCCAGTCCATCCGAGAGCTGCCCCTGTTCTTCAGCTTCCCGCCTCCGGGCGATGCCTGGGAGCTCGCCTACATCCCGTCCCAGAGCAACGCCGTGAAGACCATCACGGAGATGGCGCGGAGGATGCTGGTCATCAACATGAGAGGTGAGGTGTCCTCTGGGTCCCCTCCCGTCCAGCTATGGGGGACGAGCCCAGGTGAGCCACCCCGGCCAGCGGCCAGACTCAGCATCTGCCCTTGTTGGTGGGTCACTTGTTAGAAAATGGGGACCACGTGGGTGACCCCTGGAACAGCACGGGCTCTGGAATTGCTCCCGACGGTTCATGGTGGGGACAGCTCTGGAATTCCATGGGCAATGTGTGCCGTGAGTGCGCCCTGCCAGCACCTTTCCTGGGATGTGGTTTTGGGGGGATGGTTCTCGAAAAAGGCATCGGGAAGCCCGTTGGGGACACGCCCAGTACACGCACCTGTCCCCTTGCCTCACTCTTTGCTTTCAGGATAAAAAGTGTTACCGCTTTTCCTGCCTCCTCTTTGGCGTACACCACCCATGGCCTGGTGGACGCCATGTGGCAAATGCTCCGGGGGAGGTTCTTGGCCCTCACGGAGCCATGACAGGAAGCCCTTTACGTGGCGTGGGGTCTGGTGACAGAGAAACCGTGTGACACACGACATTAGTGTCCACTCCCATCACGACACCCTACATGGCCTGAGACAGAGGCCACCCCGTGCAGGGAGGCCGCCTCCAGCTCTCCCCAGAAACCCCGCCGCCCTGATGGCGGGGTGCTGCTGGTCCCCATCGCAGCCAGTCTCTCTCCCCCCCATGAAAGCCTCCTGGACTCTGAGGACAGGGGTACAAAGCCCTAGCGAAACCTGGACATTTGCAGTCTTTTCCTGAAAATGACCTGAAGCAGCCCGATTTCCCAGTAGAACGGGCGCTCGGGCAACTCGTGGCTCTCCCACAGCTCGCGGCTTTCCCTCGGAGAAGGACTTTGAGGACTACATCAAGTACGACAACCGCTCCTCGAATGTGCTGGCCGCCCTGGTGTTCGAGCACACCTTCAACCACAGCGGGGAGCCCCTGCCGCTGGCGGTGAGGACCCCGCCCCACAGCCCCTCCCCCTCTTCAACCAGCCCAGCCTGTGAAGGCCCTCTGCCCACCCCCTGGGCCATACCGGGCTTCACCGCAGGGCCAGGGACCCCAGCTGGGTCCCCGCCGAGGGTGCCCTGGTCCCGCTCTAGCCCGTTGGGCCAGCGCCGCTGGGAAAGCCTGAAGAAGGCAGCCAGCGGCCCGCTGCAGACCCCTTAGTCCTCCCACGTGTCCCCTGTGCGCCATCAAGTGGGCAGGGGGAAAGGAGCGGACACGTGGGACTTCCGAACACCAGCACTAGAATTTCAGTTATTTAAAACACAAGGAAGTCTTCCTGTCTGGTGGCATCAAGACTGGAAAACGATCCAGTTCCTCTAGCATTATTTTGGGGGCCCTCCACTGATGATCAGGGCACCTTGGGTGCAGAGTTCCCAGAGGAGGCTGGCAAGACGGGGCTGGCAAGAACACCCCGGGGGCGCACCTCAGGGCCCCCTTCCCCACCCAGGGCAGGGCTACTCACCATGACGCGCCAGGACCCCGTGGGTGTTGGGGGGTGTTGCGGGGGTGCGGAGTTCACGGTAACGAACCCCTAAACTCTCTCATTGGACACGATGTTTGCTTCTCTGTCTGCATCCCTCAGAGCGGGTGCTTTTCTCTTTGTTCCGTAGGTGAAATACCACTTACGGTTCAGCTACACACGAAGAAACTACATGTGGACCCAAACAGGCTCCTTTTTCCTGAAAGAGACGGAGGGATGGCACACCACTTCGCTCTTCCCACTTTTCCCAAACCCAGGACCAAGGGAGCCCGCGTCCCCCGACGGTGGAGAACCTGGTGAGAAGCCGCAGCCGCGATCCCTCCCAGGGCTGCTGACGGGACGGTCACAGGGGCCCCACCTCGTGTCCCTCTGCAGAAGTACTCCTTTAGGGCTGTTCAGTCTTCTGCCGCGTAGAGGGAAGGAAGCGTCCGGGAAAGCTGGCTCTGATGGGTTAAGACACTCCCATATCCTTAGAGGCGCTGTCCCCACTTCTCCGAGGACACGTGCTCCTGAAGGAAACTTCTGTGTCTCAGTCTTAAAGGGGCTGCTATTGGCGTCACGTCTGTGGGCTTGGCCTCACACTTCCTTTCCCTCCGTGGCCTTTGCTGTGCACGGTTGTGTGGGCTTCGGGAGCTCTGTGGTCCTGGAGCAATTGTCCGGGGTCTGACTGTACGAGTGGGGTGCTTGCCGAAGCTGGCTCTTGGCTGGTTGTGCCCCCTCAGTGTGTGTGTTGGTCTGTCCCGTGTGGCCTGGGCAGGCACGCAGCCTGTGCGTCTCCCCCGAAGCACGGCTGCCCTCCTGGAACGGAGCTGGGGGTGAGCAAGGAGTAGCCCACTCCATGGGTCCCGGGCAGCGGCAGGGTGTTGCGGAGAACAGAGGGTTCCACCGTCTGCAGGAGACAGAGCGTGTCCAGGTTTTGGTGGAAAGAACCACTAATGTACCAAAACAAAGTGCCAGGCGGCCAGGCAGGCGGGCAGAAGGAAGGGAGGCAGCGGCCCGTGTTTAGAGACCGTGGCTGGTGCCTAAGGCCAGCAACAGGAGAGACTGTCCTCCTGTTTTTGGGTACACTTTCCTAAGTTTGGAAGCATATTTCACTAGGTGTAAATTCAAAATTTGCCTGAGAAGGAAAAGCAAGCAGGAGCCTGGGGAAAGCATTCCAGCCAATGACAAGGGTCCACGTCTTTTTATGTTGAGGACTCAATAGTCCACGCCAGGTGCGAGCACACGAAGGCCCCCAAGCCACGGCAGGGACGCGGGCCAGGCACACAGCACAAGCTCGGCATGCTCCCCCAGCCCCGTGTCCACACCTCAGACCCACGGGGTCCCCAAAGGGAGTTCAACCCCTGGAAGAGTCAGAAGGAAGGAGAAGATCCACATGCTGAAGGTGTTCGCCGTGGCTTTGTTTCTGGTCACAGACCTTTCGGCAGGGGGAGTGGTTGACGACAGGTTGACTCAGGGCCAGGAGCAGCCACACCACAGTGGCTAACACGCAGGCCAGGCTCTGCACTGGAATCCTTCGCCCTGGGTCTGTCACTCCTCCTCCCGCCTCACCGGCAGACTTTTATGACAGAGCATGTGGCAGGCGGTCAGAGAGGGCCAGCAGAGAGAGCAGAAAGCACTCGAAGGTCTGAGCAGTGGCCTTTGGACTGTGATGCCTGCCTCTCTTGCAGGTGCTAGCTCGGGTGGATGGAAGTAAGGCTGCTACTCAGCGGGCCTCAAGATAGCAGGATTACTGTTGATTATCCTGAGGGGCCTGACGTAGTCAGCGGGGTCCTCCAAAGTGGACAAAGGGGGCGGAAGAGAGGGTCAGACCGGTGCTGCCTGGCTGGCCTTGGGGCTGCGGGAAGGGGTCGTGTGTCGGAGATGAGGATGGGGCCCCCTAGGGGCATTAGGTGGCATCGCTCTGTGGCCCTGTCCACCAGGGAGACTCCAGTACGGCTCAGGGCATGTGGCTGAGTGAGCGAGCAGCACCCGTGATGTGACTTTTCCCACTGCTCCGCGCTCAGGGTACATCCGCGAAGGCTTCCTCGCTGTGCAGCATGCAGTGGACAGGGCCATCATGCAGTACCACGCCAACGCCTCCATGCGTCAGCTGTTTGAGAAGCTCACCGTGATCGCGAAGAGGTTCCCTTACCCCCCTTTTATTTCGGACCCCTTCCTGGTCGCCATCCAGTACCAGCTCCCCCTGCTGCTCATGCTGAGCTTCACCTACACCTCGCTCACCATCATCCGGGCCGTCGTGCAGGAGAAGGAGAGGAAGCTGAAGGTAGCCATGCTCTGTGTGGCTTCCGACTGTCTCAGCGGGTTGGGTGCAGGCGCCATGCCGCCGGTGGGCGGGGGGGAGGCCGCAGGCGGGGCACTGAGCCACACGAGCAGCCGGACGTGGGGTGGAACGCCCACCGTGGCGCCGGCGATCCCAGGGCTTCTGTGAAATCAAGTCCGGTGCATCCAGGTCTTAAAACCCTGATAAAGCACCACATGTTGTGTGCAGTGCACTGAGCCCTGACATGTTGAAAAGACCGTGGTTTGGATGTGCTAGGTCAAGCAGAACACAGCGTTAAACTAATTTCACAGGTTCCTGTTAACTTTTTTGCTGTGGCCACTAGAAAACTCTAAATTATATACCTACTCACATCCAATTCCTGCTGAACAGAGCCACCCCAGAGAGGCCAAACGTTTCGGTTCGTGGCCGTGCAGAAGGCCCATTCACTCTGCACGGGTCAGGCACAGCTGTAGGTCTGCACCACCAGGTGCAGTGGGACGGGGGTAAGGAGTATGGAAGGAGTCCTTGCCTTAATCAGGTACAGCTGCGCAATCGCGTCACCCATAAACTCATGCCAGTGACGCTGTTGAAATTACCCAGACTTTATTTGAAGTTCTTCCTTCGGCAGCAGCTGTGACACTTAGCATATTCTCATAGGTGCCACATCTGTGATCAGGGGGACTTGTAAGCAGGGGGCCGGGAGAGGGGCCGGGGTGCTGTCTGCATGGGCGTGGGATAGCAGTGCAATGGTGTGACGTGGACGCTGGGGGCCGGGAGAGGGGATGGGGTGCTGTCTGCGTGGGCACCGGACAGGACGGCCGTGCAGTGGTGTGACATGGAAGGGGTTGGCAGCAGATGTGAAATGGCTCAGAAGCAAATGTTTATGCCCACAGATTCATGGATAAAACCAACGTGGCGGAATGTTGAATGATTGTTGAATCAAAGTGGAGGGCGGGGGCATGCTGGGTGAGGGGCAAGGTGAGCTGATCCCGCCAGAAGCAGGGAGGGCATCCCAGGGGGGCAGCACCTAAGACCAGGGAGATAGAGGAGGAGGGCAGGGGAGGACGGCACAGGTGAACCGCGTCTTTTGCCTGGCGCGTGCTGAGCGTGTGTCCCCGGCGTCCCGCTGCTGTCCCCTCTTGGCCCGTGGGCGACACCGTGCATCCGCACAGATGTACAGGCTCCGGGCCAAGGCGGAGGGTGTGTCAGAGCGCATGTGTGGGGCTTTCTTCCCAGGAGTACATGCGCATGATGGGGCTCAGCAGCTGGCTGCACTGGAGCGCCTGGTTCCTCCTCTTCTTCTTCTTCCTCCTCGTGGCGGTCTCCTGCGTGACCCTGCTGTTCTGCGTCAAGGTGAGTGTGGCCTTGTGGAGAGCGTGCAGGTGGAAGGGACCGGAGAGCCAGAGGCACCGCAGCACCCCGGGGCAACCCCAGCCACGGCCCAGGGCTTCGGGGCGAGTTGGCCCCTCCCCCACCCTCACCAGCTTCGTTCGAGGGGGGAACCTTTAAGGTCTTCCTGGTTTTGTCCCCACCTCCCCCGCCGTGGCCTGCCCCGCCCGTGTGACCACCGGGACGCCTGCGCAGGTGAAGAAGGATGTGGCTGTGCTCACTCACAGCGACCCCTCGCTGGTGCTGGTCTTCCTGCTGTGCTTTGCCACCTCATCCGTCTCCTTCAGCTTCATGGTCAGCACCTTCTTCAGCAAAGGTGAGCCGGCCCGCCCCCAGGACCATGGGTGCCCCAGCCACCCCTGCTCAGGAAACCTGGCAGGTCCCTTCCCGGTGTCCAAGTAGCCCACAGGATGGAGGGGGCTGTGCTCTGCACCGGCCTTTGGACTCGGTCCTCGGGGTGGCGCACGCCTGAGTCGTTCCTCTCCCAGAGTTCCCTTCCCCTGTGTGTGCAGAGCTGTCCTAGCGTCGCTCTCCCACCTGCATAGTGTCGGCGCCTCAGGGAAGGCTGCCCGAGGGTGGGTGTATCCCTGTGGGGGGGGGGGGTGGTCCCGTGGGCGGGCGTGTCTCTGCGAGTGGGCGTGTCCCCGTGGGCGGGCGTGTGTCTGCGAGTGGGCGTGTCTCTGCTGGTGGACATGTCCCCGCGGTGGGCGTGTCCCTGCAGGCGGGAGTGTCCCTGCAAGTGGGCGTTTCTGCGGGTGGGCGTGTCCCGCGGGCGGGTGTGTCCCCCGTGGTGGGCGTGTCCCTCAGAGTGGGCGGGCTTGTCCCCGTCGATGGGTGTGTCTCGCGGGGGGGGCTTGTCCCCCGCGGTGGGCGTGTCCCCCTGAGCGGGCGTGTCCCCGCGGGGCTTGGACACTCTGGCCACAGGTGCGTGCAGCCCCCAGCAGAGGTGTGGTTTTTCTTTTTACCAGCGCTGTGGTCTGAGGACTCATGTCTTCTTTCAGTCCTACATGATTTTGCTCTCACGTTCACCAGGTCTTGCGTTCCACGATCTCTGGCACTGTCTTCCGCTAGACCTCTGCTGGGGCCTCTCGCTTTGTCCTGTGTCTTCTTTTTCCGTTGCGGCAGAGTACACCTGACACTTGGCCATCGTCGCCATTCCTGAGCACAGTCAAGTGTCAGCAAGCCCATGCACACGGTGGTGTGACCGTCCCCACCCCCACTCCAGAACTCTTCCATCTTCCCACACTGAAGCTCTGCCCCCCTATGCACCAACTGGCCATCCCTCCCCAGCCCTCGTACCCACTGTCCACTGTCTGTCTCTGGGGCTGTGGCCACACTAAGTAGCCCACATGAGTGGAATCACACAGCGCACATCCCTTTGTGGCTAGCTTATCTCGCTGAGCCCACTGCCCTCGGGGTTCATCCCAATCCTAGCGGGTGTTGTAAGCCTGCGTGATATTCTGCTGTGCGGATGGGGCATATTCTGCTCGTCCACCCACCCGTCCATGCACACACGGGCTGCTTCCACATTTCAGCGCCTGTGAGTCGTGCTGCTGTGAACTTGAGCGTGCAAGCACATCTTTGTACCCAGAAGTGGAATTGCCGGGCCACGCGCTGGTTCTGTGCCTATCATTTGAGGAGCTGCCAGGCTGTTTCCCACAGCGACGCCACCACTTTCCATTCCTGCCCAGAGTGCTTGGGGCTCCACATCCTCACCCACGTTCCTCACGTTCTGGTTTGGGTCAGTGTTTGGGTAGTAGCCATCCTGGTGGGCGTGAGGCGGTGTTCCTCGTGTCTCTCAGCTTCTTTTTCATACTTACGGAAATCTTTGTGCTGAGTCTGTGTGACTTCCTCACGGTTGTCTTCCAGTTCCCTGGTTGTCTCTTTGTGTATGTTCTACAATGTTCTAGAATCTACCAAGACTTCATCTCTCCTCCCCTATTTCTCTTTTGTCAAGTATTCAGCTGATTCTTGTACACATCCACTTACTCTTGTTTCCTCATCCATTTTTGTGGGAAAACATCCACCCCCTTTTTTTTAGAAGGAAGCACTTCTTCACGTGCTCGTACGTCCACGACTCCCTGATCCTGAAGTCCCGTGTTTCCTATCACACTCCTCCCCTCGGAGGACTCTCTGGACATGTGGCTCATCCCCAGATTTTGAGCTCCAGCTGAGGCTTCTCTCCTGACATTCAGACTCACACACAACTTCCCTGAGATGCTCAGCGTGCATCTCCACCCGAGCATGTCCATCACCACCTCCTGACCTTGTCCTCAGAAGCCCGTTCCCTGTCTCTGCTGGGAGCACCCTGTCCTTCCTGCCACTCACCAAAACACCTTGGGAATCATCCCTGACATCCTTCTCTCTCTCAAGTTCTGCACTATATCCGAGCAGAATGGCAGCTCGCGTCCCCGTCCCCGCTGCCTCCACTGCCCCACCCATCAGCTGGGTTCACGGAGGTGGCCTTGAGCTGTCTTCCTGCTTCTGCCCTGGCCACCCTTCAGCTCTGGACACGGCCAGTAGTGTGAGCCTCCAGAGCCTGGCACTCTTCCACTCAATCCTTCCTGTGACCATCAGCCTCACTCAGAGGGAAAGCCAAAGGTTTTGCCAAGGCTGCAAGGCCCTGCCCAGCCCCTTTGCTCTAGGCTGGCCACACCGCCTTCAAACACTCTTGCCTCCGCCAGGTCAGAGGTTTTCAAAGTGCAGTCCACAGACTCCTGGGGACCTGCGAGGTCCTTAGGGGGATTCACAAAGTCAGAACCATTTTTATGAGAATACCCAGATGTCGTTTGCCTTTTCTACCATGTTGATGTGTGCGCTGACAGGCAAAGAAGCAAAGGAAGGTAAAACTGTGGGCTCTGAGTGCCAGTCAGGACAGGCCCCAAGCTGTACTGGGCGCCATCCCCGCACATGCTCCAGTAAGCAAATGACAAAAAGTGTTGATTTCACTCAGAAGTCTCCTTGATGAGCAGCAAAATTAATTTTATTAAACCTTGACTCTTAAGTATACTTTTTAAACATTCCATGGGATGAAATGGGATGTTCACATAAAGTGCTTGTTGCATACTCAAGGGTGATGATTGTCTTGAGGAAAAGCTTGTGGGCAGTGGCCTGAGTTGTCAACTAAACGAGCCCCTTCCTTCCTTCCTTCCTTCCTTCCTGGAACAACATTTTTGCTCAAAAGAACCACCCCCAGACTATAATTACTCAGGTCACCTGGGTGTTTGGCAGGCATTTTTCTCAAATTTGTGGTGTCTTTTAAGAACAACTGACAGCATCTGACAGCTTTCAAGCGAAAAATAGGATTTTACGAACTTGAATCTGACACCCAGAGCTTGACAGTGTCCCGGCACTTAGCCTCTTAGGAGACTGGCGATCGTTAATCAGCCAATGTGATTTTTCTGTATGTTGTACAATAAAATAATAAAACATGTCCACACTTTGAAGGTCTGCATAGCTCAACAAACAGTATGTTCTGCACAACCGACACATCACATTACGAAATCATGCCTGAGGAATAACCCCTCCAAAGTGCAAGGCAGACCAGCAGATTCTCACATAACCAAGCATGAGAGGCTCATCGGTCAGTCTGGGTCCATGTAGCACCCGACCTTTGAGACGAGTGGCTAAGGAGTGGTACTTGAGTGACTCTGTATCTAGGAAGAAGAGCCGCGAGTATCTGAAAAGGCTGTCCACATACCCTCCCTTGTCCAGCTGCCAGCCTGTGTGAAGCTGGTTCTCTTCGGGGGCTTCATCCCCAACAGTGTAGTACGACAGGGTGACCGCAGAACAGCCGTAATCCCTTAAGTTGGACGCTGCAGAGGCTTGCAGATATGGAACACAATGCCACTTTCCTTGCTCAATTGTGGGAAATACAGCTGACTTTCATGAAAATACTTATGTTCAGTTATAGTGGGTTTGTTACCATTCTGAAAAATCTTTAAATTTTCTTAGTACTAATTCGCGATCCCGCAAGAACTGGTACGTGTATACGTGCGTCCGTGACCCACATGAGCACGCGTTCTCTGATGTCCTCAGTCACTTTTAAGACCATAGAGGGGTCTTACGACCAGAGTGTCTGAGGGCCGCCAGCGTGGACCGCAGCCACACTATTCTACCCGTGACTCGCCCATCACGCCTTTCCCACGCACCACCTTCCCGTCACAGCTGTCCTTGGCCCACTGGCTACCATCGCTGCCCAGCCCAGGGGATGCCTGGTCCCCATCTGTGCTTTGCTGCTCTGCACGGGGCTGTCCCCACCCAGCACACTCCGCTCTGCTCTGTTACCCTCTGTGTCCCCAGTGGGTTACAAGCTCCGGGAGGGGAGGGGCTTGTGTGTGTGGTTGTGGCAGGCTCCCCGGTGCCCGGCATAGGGCCTGTCTGTAGAACAGATGAGTGAATGACGGGGGACAGACCAGGTGAGAAGCAGGGCTGGGCTGGGCTCTATCCACTGTGCAACGTCAGGGTGAAGTCTGCAGGAGAGGGCTGGGGACATCCATGTGGGGGTCCCCAGGATGGGGAGGGCATGCAGCCCCAGGTGGGGTCACAGTCCCTGCAGAGCATGCACCGTGACAAGAGGAGAGGCTGTGGGCCAAGCCTGAGGTCCCCCAGCCCTGGTGCTCACATCCCCGCGCGATGGCCAATGCCGGGCGGGGTGGGCAGCCCGTGCTCTCCCCTGCGTTCAGCACACTTGTCTTCTCTCCATCCGTAGCCAACATGGCAGCCGCCATAGGGGGCTTCCTCTACTTCTTCACCTACATCCCATACTTCTTCGTTGCTCCCCGATACAACTGGATGACTCTCAGCCAGAAGCTGCTCTCCTGTCTCCTGTCCAATGTTGCCATGGCGATGGGAGCCCAGCTCATAGGAAAATTTGAAGCAAAAGGTGAGTCTCTTCCTTCTGAAGAGCGGCCCTTGCCGACTGAGTTACTAAGAGAGTGTGCTCAGGGCCGCCTCCAGCATGCGGCTCCAGCTCCGAGCAGGACAGCTCAGCAAGTGGGGCAGGGGACGGCAGGTGCTCCGCGGTGGGGAGGCTCTCACCTGGGCAGGAGCCCCGGGGGAGGCGGGCCAGACCCGGACGCTCAGAGGACAGAGCGCTAACATGCCCAGCGTGGTGACGGCCACCACTTGCCTGGAGCTCCTGCCGGGGAGCAGCTGGGGCTGTGAGAGAGCAGACCTCTGAGCCTCTGCCTGCACCTGGGGTGCTCAGAATAGTGAGGCCCTGGCCTCAGAGTCTACGGGTGGTGACCAGCCCCCAGCTCTTGGTCAGGTGGCGGAACGGGCGCCTCCCTGCACAGTGAGTGGGGATGAGGGAGAAACAAGTCACAGGCCAGAACTGTTTTTGTGATTTTCCTGTAAACATCACAGGGGTTGAACAAAACACGTCTTTGGGCACAGGGGCTGTCTGCTCGGGTTTCAAGGGTGGGGTCCAGCCTGCTCCTCTGAAAGTTGGAGAGACCCCCGTTTACCCTTAAAGCCCACCTGCTGGGGGGTGTCCTCCTGGGAGGACCTTGCAGGGGCGGAGGGGGCTGTCGCCGCCAAGGGGAGGCAGGAGGGTGAGCGTGAGCTTCTGTGTGGCTGTGGCATTGTGCTGGCCTATCTCGTCTGGGGACAGAACTGCGCGTCTGCAGGCGCTGGACCCTGTGCTGCCCAGTGTCTCTGTCTCGGGCTTCGTGGTCTCGTGTCTCATGGTCCTGGCTGTTGTGGTTTTCTAGCGTGGGTCTGTGGCAGGAGGGAGGCCATGGATCATCCGTGTGGCTTTAGCTTTCATTAGAGTTGTTTTCTTCCGTGGCAGTGTCTTCTCGCACTTCAGCCTTTAAACGTCTGTGTTTCTGTGTTTAACTGTGTGTGGTAAATGTAGACTTTTTCAGTGCGTTGCCCCTTCCAGGGTTCAAATACTTTCTTAAAAGCCATTAATCAAGAAGAACCTAACTGTAGGGCAACTCTTGGTTTTCAAAGTTCTACGCCGATTTTACTTAAAACAAACTTCTGGTTGCTTGAAAGTGACCAAAACCAGAGCACAGCCACTTGGAGCCGACAGAAGGTAGCTGGCCATGCGGAGGCTGCAGGCACCGTTTGTGCTGCAATGTTTCAAACCAGATGGAAGGCAAGACCTGTGGGCACCACAATCGAGCTTTATACATTGTCTCGAGTGCTTCTATTTTTTGAAAAGACTTGTACTAAACATACACTATTCATGTGGGCCTTCCCTGAATCATACACGTGTCTGTGTATTTGCGCGTGTGCACCTGTGGATGGTGCGTGTGCATACACGTACCATGTACGTGGACACACATGGATGAGCATGGAGGTCGTGCTCTGTCTTCCAGGTGTGGGTGTCCAGTGGCGAGACCTCCTGAGTCCTGTCAATGTGGACGATGACTTCTCCTTCGGGCAAGTGCTGGGCATGCTGCTGCTGGACTCTGTCCTCTACGGCCTGGTGACCTGGTACGTGGAGGCCGTGCTCCCAGGGCAGTTCGGCGTGCCCCAGCCCTGGTACTTCTTCGTCATGGTGAGTTCCGCATGCTGGCCGCCTGCGTGGGGGTAGAGGTGCCCTCCGCACACACCCCGGGCCCCTCCAGTCCCTGGCACACAACCCTGCCCCATGTGCGGTCAGTGAGGCGTGTGTCCCCAAGGCCCTGAGACCCTCCACTGGCCGAGATGAGCCCTGCACTCCAGGGTCTGCGAGATCCCACCACCAGAGATGAACCAGGCTGACCCCGTGCTGTGTAGCCCTTTGGACTGTTTTTCTATGCACATGCATATCACGTACACATGCTTGTGTTTATAGAAAGGGGATCATGCTGGAAAAATGCCTGAAACTTGTTTTTTTTTTAACCTGATTTAGCTATCTTAAATATAAACGTGTGGATCTGTTTATAAATATACTTTTAGGTTTTTACATGTACACATTTGTAAGTTTTGTTTTACTTCTCTGGACTATGTTATGTGCACTCTGGGTAAGCCTGCCAGGGACCAAGTGCCCAGACGGCAGGCCAGGAAGGGGCTCCGAGCCTCCCCAGGATAGAGGAAGGAGGAGACACGTTCCCCCAGGCACAGGGCTGCGTGCTGTGTGTGTTCAGTGTGTCGGTAAACATGTTGCCGTTCATCACACACAAAATGAGCCGACACGGGTCAGTTACTTGAGACCCGTCTGATTTCCATCCTAGCCCTCGTACTGGTGTGGGCACCCGCGGACGGTTTTGGGAAAAGAAGAGGAAGATGGTGACCCAGAGAAAGCGCTCAGAACGGAGTACTTTGAGGCTGAGCCGGAGGACCTGGTGGCCGGGATCAAGATCAAGCATGTGACCAAGGTGCGACACCCCATGGGCTGGGCGGGTGTGGGGACCTTGTGAGCCACAGGACGTGACACCTGCCACCTTCCCCAGGGCTCTCTCCAAGCTGGTAACCGTCCCCCAGACTTGTACCCCCATGGCTGCCCTCTGACCAGCTCTCTGGGCACCAACCACTCCCCAGGCTCCTCCCCAGGCTTGAGTCAGCACCACCTGGACTTAACCTCCCATCAGCTTTGCAGCAAACCTCTTGCTGTGCTCACTGCATGGGGACAGATGTCGGGGACCTGCCCGGTGAGGGTGGGGGGAGCGGTGGGGAGCATCATGGCCTCCAGTCAGCCTCTGCCCAAAACTTCCCACCTTTGCACTGACTGGTGGTGCTGGGCATGGGCTCCCAAGACCCTCTGGGTAGGCATTCCAGAGGGCATGCTGGAAGCAGTCGGGGGTGGGGCCTGCAGTTCAGGGCACTCTCTGCCTTTGCTGCAGGTGTTCAGAGTGGGGAACAAGGGCAAGGCGGCAGTCAGAGATTTGAACCTGAACCTGTATGAGGGGCAGATCACAGTGCTACTGGGCCACAACGGCGCGGGGAAGACCACCACCCTCTCCATGCTCACAGGTGAGGGGCCGTGGCCTGTGCTCTGGCAGCCCCGCCACAGGCCCGCTCACCCACTTAGGCGGGAGCAGGCTCGCCCGCAAACTCACGGCCTGGGTGCTCGTTAGAATGAAGCAAAGCCACGTGAACACGACCCGCGCCACCCTCGCGCCGAGCAGAGGGTGTCAGTGCTGAACTCACACCTCTGGGTCCTCTGCCTGGCCCTAGGTCTCTTTCCCCCGACGAGCGGACGGGCGTATATCAACGGGTACGAGATTTCACAAGACATGGTTCAGATCCGCAAGAGCCTGGGCCTCTGCCCACAGCACGATGTGCTGTTCGACAACCTGACCGTTGCAGAACACCTGTATTTCTACGCACAGGTGAGCCGGCGGCTCAGTGGACTCAGGTCGCGTGCTGGTTCCGTGGCCTGTGTGCTTGCGCCCCAGGCCCTCAGCCCCCCAGCAAACAGAACGCACTCTGAGCAGCCTTCGCAGATCTGCAGTGGGATGCGGGGAGGGACGTCAGGGCACCAGGTGCGGCTCATGGAGAGAAGGGGATGACACTGAGGCCAGGCTCCTCGAGGACTGGACGGGCCAGCCTCCCAGCAGGAGCCCCTGCCGGACCTCTCCGTCCCCCGCTGTTGCAGCTGAAGGGCTTGTCCCGTCAGAAGTGCCCTGAAGAAGTCCAGAGGATGCTGCACGTCCTCGGTCTGGAGGACAAGCAGGACTCCCTGAGCCGGTTCCTGAGTGGGGGCATGAAGCGCAAGCTCTCCATCGGCATCGCCCTCATAGCGGGCTCCAAGGTAGGCGGGCGGGAGGCCCCGGGGCAGGGCCCCGTGCACGCAGACGGCCGCTCGGGATGGCGGCACGGAGGCGTCGGGCTCCAGGCCCCACGCGGCACGGGCTGGCTGCAGCCCCTGGACGCCTGCCGAGCAGCCTGGCCAGGGCGGGACGGCCACGTCTTCACAAACTGGAGCCTCACGGGGCCTCCCGACAGCCAGCCCGGGCCCGCCATGCGGCTCTGCCACCACTCCCAGCAGCCACTGCTCTGCCTGCAGGTGCTGATGCTGGACGAGCCCACCTCGGGCATGGACGCCATCTCCAGGAGGGCCATCTGGGACCTCCTGCAGCAGCACAAGAGTGACCGCACCGTGCTGCTGACCACGCACTTCATGGACGAGGCTGACCTGCTGGGGGACCGCGTGGCCATCATGGCCAAGGGGGAGCTGCAGTGCTGCGGGTCCTCGCTGTTCCTCAAGCAGAAGTATGGTGAGCGGCGCAGGCGGGTGGGTGGGCGGGTGGCGGGGCAGGCCTGCCTCCCTTCCCCACGGGCCCCGTCCCTGGCCTGGAGGGTCCCTGAGGCTAGGAGAGGGGCGGTGATAGGAGCAGGGAGCTAAGGAGCAGACAGTCTTGAGTTGGTTAGGATGGCGTCCAGCTGTGACCAGGGAAGAGAAGAGCAGCCAGCACCAGCCCAGGCCACAGAGGCCAACGGTGCCCTTGGAGAGGCCATGCTCGGTAGCATAGAGGCTCTCAAGCTGGCGGCCCATGGCACGGTCCAGGACCGGTGGTGGTGCGTGGTTTGCCACGTGAGCATGGCTTCCTTTCTCGAGGGCAGCTCGTGGTCTGACACAGTCTAGCGTGGCGGGTCCACCCAGGTCCTGCCCACGGGGGAAGCAAAGACAGAAGCCGAGCTCCCCTCCTCAGACGCTCTGGGAGGTGCACCCCTCTTTCCCGCAGCTACCCCCTTAGGCTGGAGGGAGGCTGGAGAGAGGCTGGAGAGGGCGGCTGGCATCCCTAGGGCTCCCTTGTGGAGAAGGCAGGGAGCACAGGTCTTGGGGACAGTTCCTGCTGCAGCCTCTGAGACTTGGAGTGTGGAGTCCGGAGTCCTGCTTGGGCCTCGTGTCCTTACCATGCAGCAGATCACCCCCCACCACCAAGTCCTCTGGCATCTCTGCCCAGCAGTGGGCAGGGAGGCCAGGCCCTCAGGACGGCGGGTGCCCAGGGGCTCCGAGGTGCATTCCTGCGGCTCTCTGGCCCCTTCCCCATGAGCCTGCCCTCATCGGGAGCCCAGGGCCAGGAGAGACAGCCTCCGCGGGAGACAGCATCACGTGGGGCTCCTTGCTGTTCAGGTGCAGGCTACCACATGACGCTGGTGAAGGAGCCTCACTGCGACCCTGAGGCCATCTCCCGGCTGGTGCAGCACCACGTTCCCAGTGCCACGCTGGAGAGCAGAGCTGGCTCAGAGCTGTCCTTCATCCTCCCCAAGGAGAGCACGCACAGGTGTGTATCCTGGGGCTGCATAGACACACGCCGGAGGAGGGGGCTCCATGGTCCTCAGGGTCTCCAGGCTTAGAGGACCTACCTTGTCCCTGTTGGGCTCAGCCAGTGGGCCTGTGACGGCACAGGGTGAACCAGCTTGCTGGGTCTGGCAGGCAGGCCTCCCAGGGCCGCAGAGCTGGCAGACCTTCCCATACCTGGAGGCAGAGTGTCTGCGGCCCCAACCCAGGGTCAGGCCTGCACGGCAGCTGCTCCGAGTTCCTGTGGGATCCTGCATTTGTGTATCTTCCTGGTGTCAGGCTTGGAGTCTTGCAGACCCCTGGTGTGGGGGGGCAACAACCAAACTCTCGATTCACATTCAGAAACTGTGGGTATAAATCTGGAAAGTACGTTTAATCTTTTGAAGAGCCCAATTGACTGGTGTGGTTTTAATAAATGCGTAGGGTTCCCCAACCCGGTCACGCCGTGACTTGATCAACATCTGCGCTGTGACCACACGCTCATGGTGTTCCCCCCAAAATATGCTAGTGAACCTTCTAGAAAACTCTTTGTCTGAACCTCCAGTAACTCCCCCCCCCTTTAGGTTAGAGTCCCGATAGCAGGGTAAATGGTACCAAGTTCCCTCCTAGAAAGGAGGTGTGTATGACTTCCCTGTCAGCAGGATGGGAGAGACTCCGTTTTACCCCATGGCTGCCAGCCTCCAGTAAGGTTTTCTTAAACATCTGTGTATCCAGTGGGTGAAGTGGCATTTTGTGTTTTTCCGTTCCTGCCAGCAGGAGGTGGAGCTTGGCCCACTGTGCGTGCTCTGGACAGTGTGTGTTTCTGGCCCTTGCTTGGTTGGCCGTCAATGTTTTATATCTTAGTATCAGCCATTTTTTGCTGCGGTTTTTTTTCCAGTTGGTCATTGACTAATTTTGTGGGATTTGTTTCCCACGAGGGTACTTTACGTGTAATGGGTCATACCATTTCCCTTGTGATTTTTTTCCTATGAAGCGCTACCCCAGAGTCAGATGAATATTCACCAGTTTCTTTGGGTTTGTTCTGTGATTTCTTGTGGACGAATACTATGGAATGCCCCACGGGCCCAAGTACTCAGGGCAGAAGCTCCCATCAGGACAGAAAAGGGGGAAACCAAGCCTGACCTCGGGGTTTCTTTGCAGTGGCTTTTCAAGGACGGAGGTCCCTTTGCTCCCCCAGACTGCCCGGAGAAATAGGCTGCCTCGAAAGTCACTGAGACGCAGCTCTTCACTTGGGGTCTTGTTTCCAGGTTCGAAAGTCTGTTTGCAAAGTTGGAGAAGCAGCAGAAGGAGCTGGGGATCGCCAGCTTCGGGGCCTCGGTCACCACCATGGAGGAGGTCTTCCTCCGGTCAGTAGACACATGTTTCCAACAGTCTGGGCACACACGCCTGTTTAACGCAAGACAGTGAGGCAGCCCCTCACCCCACACCCCCTGAGGGCAGCCGGACAGCCAGCTGTGGGCAGGGCCCCACGAGCCCCACGGCATTCACCAGGCAGAGGGCCACTGAGCTCAGGTCTCTGGAAACTTCCACCCCTCCCTCATGGGGAGTGAGCAGGCGTCCCGGGGGCCCCTTCCCGGAGCAGGTGTCTGTCCATGATGAAGGTGGGGACTGGACAGGCAGACCCCCAGACCTGCGGGCGCGCGGCGGGGCGGGGACAACAAACGTATTTACCGGACTTGTCTTGAGTGCTTATTTGGCAGACAGAGTGCCAAGAACTAGAAGTACAAAGCTAGTGCGAGGTAAAGGTCGGTGCTTGAGGATCCCGGGTCCTAGGGGAGGCAACAGAGTGGCAAGTGCACGGCTCAGGTCACTCCCTGGCATCGGGGCGGCCCAGCACCTGGGGGCCTGCTGGCCTCCCTTGCCTATGCTCTCCACACACGCCTGGCCCATCTCCCAGGGAGGTCCTCGTGGGCAGGGCCGTTGTCTGGATGTCTCTGCCAGACTCTGCTTGGCTGCGGTGCCTGGAGTCTGGGGCATCTATTGATGAGCGAGAGAGGAAATGAACCGCCAGCAGGCAAAGCCAATGGTGTGCTCCTCCTCCCAGTGGGATGGCGACCGCGAGGAGCCGAGCGCTGACCAGCCTCTCGTTTCTTGGCACAGGGTCGGCAAGCTGGTGGACACAAGCATGGACATCCAAGCCATCCAGCTCCCTGCCCTGCAGTACCAGCACGAGAGGCGGGCAAGCGACTGGGCTGTGGACAGCCACCTGTGCGGGGCCATGGACCCAACCAACGGCGTGGGCTCCCTGATCGAGGACGAGTGTACCACCGCCCAGCTCAACACTGGGGTGAGCACAGAGGGCTGGGGGGCCCCTGAACCCCACGTGTTGGCATCCACGGGGGCCGACGAGGGCTTGTGGAGGCTCAGCTCCCTGGGAAGAGGGTAGATTGCAGGTCACACGGTCATGGCAGGGAGAAGGAAAACCCAGAGCATTTTAACTGACAACTGTCATTTCCTCTTGTTGTCACTGGGCCGCTCACGAATGAGCAAACGTTGCACATCATGCTCACAGTGCTCCGTGTACCAAGGGCTAGCCGTAGGCCTCGTGCTTGCTCAGTGAGGTAGAGGGCAGCATCGGCCCCATTTGGCAGACAGAACACGGGGGGCCTGGGCCCAGGGGCACAGCTGGCGTGTGGCCAAGCAGGCCTCTGACCCCGGTGCCCACGCTGGGAGGACAGCAAAGGGCAGCCCTCTGCTCCCATGTGAGTGCAGGCCGGGTCCTCCCACCAGGATCAGGGGAAGGGAAGAGGCTTGGTGTCCCCTATGGGACCGCAGCTGGTCCCCCAGCGCCCAGCGCCCACCTGGCCTCCATGGCGGTGAAACCACCGCCCCCAAGGCCACGTCATGTTACTGAAGGAGCTTTGCGAGCAGCCCTAGGGCCTTGGGGCGCACATGTCAGCCTAAGGCCCCAGGCTTGCGTTTGGACCGGCCTGCTGCTGCTGGGCGGGGGTCCCATGCTGGCCTGCGTGGCAGCCATGGCGGCCATGGCAGCTCATCCCCTCTGCCACAGCTCGCCCTGCACTGCCAGCAGTTCTGGGCCATGTTCCTGAAGAAGGCCACATACAGCTTGCGCGAGTGGAAGATGGTGGTGGCCCAGGTCCTGGTCCCGCTGACGTGCGTCACGCTGGCCCTCCTGGCTGTCAACTACTCCTCAGAGACCTTCGACGACCCCAGGCTGGAGCTGACCCTGGGCCCGTACGGCCGAACTGTCGTGCCCTTCGCTGTTCCAGGGGCCTCCCGGCTGGACCAGCTGCTGGCAGAGCGTCTGAAAGACATGCTGCAAGCTGAGGGCCAGGAGCCGCGGGAGGTGCTGGGTAAGGGGCGGCCACGGGGCTCGGGCCGAGTCGTCTGAGCCTGGCTGCTCAGCCCAGGCGCCGTAGGCATCCGGGCCGGTTGGTTCCTTGCGGTCCCGTGGCATGTTCAGAAGCACCCCCCTTCCCTGGCTCCGTCATGACATCCGAAAACGCCTCCAGACGTTGCCACTGGGGGAAAAGGGCATCACCCGAGTCAGAGAAAGACATGGGGCAGCGTCTAGGGCTAAGGTTTGCCCGGGTGGCCGTGGACCAAGGTTGTCTGTTTTGGGGCCGTTGTAGGTGAAATGCTAAAGAAACCTCCATGGCCTGTTTGCCGGGCTGGTCACAACGTGCACGGAGGGAACTCAGCGCTTTCTTCCATCACGTCAAGCCCGAACCATCCACGTCCCTGGTCGTGGCAGCTGGACACTGCCCTGGGCCGAGAGGCCTCGCGCTCGGGTTAAAGGGGTCGTGTGGGAAGGCTGGCTCGGTTCACCACTCCCCTCCCACGTCCCAGTACACTGGGTGGCCAGGAGGTCTTGGCAGGAATCGGGTTCTTATTTAGGAAAAGGCTGAATGCCCCTGGCACAGGCCAGCCCTGCAGTGGGCACTGCTGCTGGGGAGGAATGTGGGCAGCCGTGCCCACCACTGTCACCGGGTTAGCCCCGCTGAGACCACAGTGGGCACTCTTTGTCACCTCCATGCCCCCCAGCCTTGTTCGCTGGCTGCCACCCAGCCTGGCCTCAGGAATTTGGGGCTCTCATGGCACACGGTGGCTCTGGGGCATTCAGGACATAGCCTCAGGTGCCCCTGGCCTGAGTCCTCCTGGATGGCCGAAGTGTCCGTTCCGTCAAGCATGTGAGCCCACGGTTTTGACCACCTCGCTGTGTGGTCTTGTTACGCTGTATTTAAGGACTTCTGATTGTTTTCCTTGAGTAATGACAGCTGTGCAGGCCGGGGTGGACGGAGCCTTCATAACTCTTGAAGTTAGGGCTCACAGACATGTCCCTGTCCCCTCACTGACCCTGGGTCCCGTAGGGCAGGTGTCCTTGTTGGACCCATTTACAGCTGAGCGAGAGGCAGGGCCAGGGCAGCGAGGGTGTGAGCGGGTGCATGTGATGCTGGACCATGCAGCCAGCAGCGAGCATAGGCAGACCCCGGCACCCCTCGTCAGACCCCCTTCTCCCCAGGCGTCCGCCAGGGAGCCAAGTGAGAGCCAGCAGGACTACCCAGAACCCGAATGCCCGAACGGTCCAAGACCTGAAGTGGGAGTTGGCTGGGGTTCTTCCAGGTGACGAGGGAATGCTCCTCCTCCCTACGCCCCCCTCCCCCAGGCCACTCTTTTTTAAAAAGATTTTATACATTTATTTGAGAGATACAGTGCGCGCATGCATAGAAGGAGCGGTAGAGAGAGAAGCAGGCTTCCCACCGAGCAGGGAGCCCAATTCTGGGCTCGATCCCAGGACCCTGGGATCATGCATGACCTGAGCCGAAGGCAGACGCCCAATGACTGGGCCATCCGGGCATCCCAGGCCATTCTTTTGAAAAACCATCTTATTTTTTTCTGAAAAGGTACTTATTCATTCCATAAAAACTGGAACACCAGAAAAACAGGCAGAGGTCCTAATTGCACCCCCACCAAGGGCGGCCCCTCCCTGTCCCCTGGCAGCCCCTCCCTGCACCTGCTGGCCCGCCCAGCACCCATCGGCTGAGACAGCTCTGCCTTCTCCTGAGTGGCCTCCTCCCTGCCACGCCGGCCCTGGTCCACGGCTGCTCCCTTTAGCATCCCCCCCACAGGGGGCATTTGTGGGGCAGAAGGAGGAGCTTGCTCCGCCCACATGGCCTCCTGTGGCTACAGTGTGCCTGCTCACCGGAGTCCTGCAGCCTCAGGCCCTGCTGCTCCCATGATGTGGCTCCTCTGCCCGTGTCCTTCCTGCGGTTCCTCCAGAGCCTCAGGCACGCACCTCAGGAGGCTTTCCTCCGCCACTCACCCTGCCATTGTCCCCCCAGGTGATCTGGAGGAGTTCCTGATTTTCAGGGCCTCGGTGGAGGGAGGCGGCTTTAACGAGCGGTGCTTGGTGGCGGTGTCCTTCAGAGACGTTGGTGAGCGGACGGTGGTCACTGCCCTGTTCAACAACCAGGCATACCACTCCCCGGCCACTGCACTGGCCGTCGTGGACAACCTTCTGTTCAAGCAGCTGTGTGGCCCCCGGGCCTCCATCGTGGTCTCCAACTACCCCCAGCCCCGGAGCGCCCTGCAGGCTGCCAAGGACCAGTTCAACGAGTATGTGCGCCGCCCCTGCCCCCTGCCCCTCTGCCAGAGCCCCACCCCCGACCGTCAGGACCTCTCATCAGGACCGACCCCCCGGGGCAGTGCCAGGGACCACCAATGGCCATGCAGGTGGATATGGCACTGTGTCTGCCTTTAGGAAGCTTCTGGGTCCTGGCCAGGGAACCCCTGCCCTACATCTTCCTCAGCCTTCCATACTCTTTCCTTGGGCAGCTGGTGAGATCCTGTCCTCCATCCACTGAGGTCTCCGAGGGGGGACTCCTGAGGATTTGGAGGGCAGCTGTGCCCTCTTCCCAAGTCTGTACCTGGCTCCTGCTGACCGCTGTACCCAGGGGTCCCAGCACACGACCAGGATGCAGAACACAGCGAGGTCAGGGGTCGCTGCCCGAGGCAGCCGCAAGTCAGAAAACCCCATGGACATCTCTGTTCTCAGGCCTCATCCTGCCCTGGTGTGTGGGGGACTCTCCCCCACACTGGTTACAGAGCCCCCCAAACCCTGGGACCATACAGAGGAAGCCCGAGAAAATCAGTTAATTTCAGAACCATCACCCCACATAGGGCAATTAATGGGGGGGGCAGTTTCATCTTCACGCCCTGCCCCATACTGGACTGCACTCCAGGCCCTACACAGACCCTACGATGTCTTCCCCTCCACAACCTCCACGACCCGAAAGCAGAGACACGGTGGCCGTTGTCTGCCCCTCCAGGAGCAGATGAGCACACTGCAGGGTCGGAACCACATCACTCTGGGGCCTCCACTCTGACTGGGCCCCAGGGAGACAGGCCTGCGGGGCCCTCAGACCCAGGCGGGGCGGGGGCCGAGCCAGAACAAGGGGCAGCTCCCTCCCGGTGGGCTCAGTGTGGTGGACGGGGTGGTTGGACTCTGTTTTGTGTTTGCAGCGTGAGCAGATAGAACTCTGCACCCATGTGTAACGTACGGTCAAATGGTCGTTAGCATGTTCGGAGCATGGGGCCCTCAGCACGCTTGCTGTCACTGACACACGAGGTCACATTAGTTCCAAATGTGTGGTGAACCCTCACCACCTGGATCTGGTCACATCCCTGGTCACACAAGTTCCAGAGTCTTTTTTCCTGTGATGAGCAGTTTTAAGGTCGTCTCTCTGAGCGACTGCAACACGCGATCCAGGATCGCTAACCTTCACCGTAGTCCCCACGTTGTACGTGACAGCCCCAGGACACATTTATCTTATGACAGGAAAGCCGTACATGTTGACCTCTCACCTGCTGTGCCCACCCCCTGCCCCCCACCTCTGTCAACCACCAATCTGTTCTCTGTCGTTCTCTACGACTTCCATTTGGGTTTAGGTTTTTTCAGATTCCATACGTAAGGAAGTCATAGGGTATTTGTCTTTCTTTGTGTGACGTACTTAATTTAGCTCACTGCCCTCAAGAACCATCCACATTATCACAAATGGCAGGATGTCCTTCTTTGTTGTGGCTGGAAAAATGTTCCCTTGTGATCAGACCCTGGTTTCTTGATCCTGCTGACAGGTTGTTTCTGTCTCGGCCGTTGTAAAGCAATGCTGCCATGAACATGTGGCGCCCACATCGCTCAAGTCAGCGATTCATTTTCCGAAAGTGCAATTTCCGGAGCATATGGTGGCTCTGGGTTTAACTTTCTGCCAGCCCTCCACACTGTTCTCCCGAGTGGCGGCCGCCCCCATGTGCATTCCCACCGACAGCGCACGAGGGCAGCCCTCTCTCCGCGTCCTTGCCCGCACATACCGGACGTGAGATCTCTGTGAGGTGGTCTCTCCCTGCGGCTTTGATTGGCGTTTCCCTGGTGCTTCGTGGTGCCCAACACGTTCTCATGTGCCTCTTGGACCACAGCGGGATTTTACTGAGCGAGCCGTCACGCCCGCGGGAGCCCCAGGACACAGCAGTCACTGCCCAATCCTCCTTCCCCTTCTCCAGGCGGCCTCCGCCCTGTCCCGCCTAGGGACGTACCTGCTCGGGACATCTCCTACCAATGGACTTGTTTTGTGACTGGCTTCTTTCACTTCCAAGGCCCATCCATGTTGTAGTGTGTATCCATAATTCTCTGTTTCCAGCCAAGTAGCATCCAGGTGTCGAAGTGCCATTTTTGAGACAGACAGGAAGTCTTTAAGCAGCAGAATAACACCCCCCGTGCTGGTTTCTGAGAACCGATTGCAGAATGTGGGATGAGCTGCTGAGGGGGGTAGCCAGCCACAGGGGGGTTCTCAGGAGATGTGGAAAGGCATATTGGTGGTGGCCCGTCACCTGCGTGTCTGTGGGGGGTGGGGGGCTGGGAGAGTGGTGCCGCCATCACTGGGGACCGGAAGCCCAGAGGAGGTATTCCTGGGATGAGATTTTCCCTGCTCTGAGACCCCCCCACCACGCACACACACACACAGCTCTGGCATTCTCTCTTAACCCCTGTTAGCGGCTGGGCCACTCCACCGCATGCTTTGGATGGTGACCAGGGACTTGATGAATGTCCCCTGCTGCCTGGTCCCGCTCAGTCGCTGACCTGCCCTGTCCCCCTAATCCCCCGCAGGGGCCGGAAGGGATTCAACATCGCTCTCAACTTGCTGTTTGCCATGGCGTTCCTGGCCAGCACGTTCTCCATCCTGGCAGTCAGCGAGAGGGCTGTCCAGGCCAAGCATGTCCAGTTTGTGAGTGGGGTCCATGTGGCTACTTTCTGGCTCTCCGCGCTGCTGTGGGACCTCATGTCCTTCCTCGTCCCCAGTCTGCTGCTGCTGGTGAGGGCTGTGAGGTGCTGGGACACCCCCCCGCACGTCACGGGGGGCTTGCTCTGGGGCCCCTGCACTGACTGCAGCCAGCCTGGGGTACATGCCGGCTGCTCAGCCCCATCTGGGAGGGTGGCTGGGAACACCCCTCATCTGTGTCTGCACCCCCAGCCTCCGCCCCACGGTGGCGGGCAGGTCCCCGGAGCGGCATGCCCCATGACGGCTCCAAGTACAGGGGGGCAGAGGGCAGGTCATCGGGGGAGTCCCAGGGCTGAAAGCCACTGGGGAGACAGGGCCCCCGAGCCGCCTGCCTCTGTGCCGCCACAGGTGGTGTTCAAAGCCTTCGACGTGCACGCCTTCACACGCGACGGCCACATGGCGGATGCCCTGTTGCTGCTCATGCTCTATGGCTGGGCCATCATCCCCCTCATGTACCTGATGAACTTCTTCTTCTCGGGAGCAGCCACTGCCTACACGAGGCTGACCATATTCAACATCCTGTCAGGCATAGCCACCTTCCTCATGGTCACCATCATGCGCATCCCAGGTGGGGGCCTGCGGACCCCCTGCCCCTCACCCTGGGTGCCTGCGGAGCCACTCTGCCCCGAACCTGGGTGGCACTAGCGGGCACTGGGCCAGACCCCTCTGCCGAATGTGGCCCTGCTGGGCCCGCAGCACTTCCGCCTCACGGTTTCAGCCGGGAGGGGGCGCGGGGGGGTTGTCCCGCAGGTGCCGTCCTGGGAGGGCCTGGCTCCCCATGTGGGGGTAACACCTGGCTGGGCGCCTGGCCCCCACGCACCGCACTCGTGTGTCCCCCAGCATCCACTGGTCTGTGCCCCTCCCCACAGCGGTCAAGTTAGAAGAGCTTTCCAGAACCCTGGACCATGTGTTCCTGGTGCTGCCGAACCACTGTCTGGGGATGGCGGTCAGCAGCTTCCACGAGAACTTCGAGATGCGGAGGTACTGCACCTCCTCGGAGGTCGCAGCCCACTACTGCAGGAAGTACAGTGAGTGTCCCCGCGGCTGCCCCTCTCACCACCCCGCACCCCGCGGCGGTGCTCTCCTGGGGGGGACCCTTGTTCTGCTCTGTGAGGGGGCGCCCCTTCCCCCCAGGCCGCCCCCAGGCTGACCCCCTGGGTCCCTCCGCCACCCAGGCATCTCTGTATCTCCAACCTCCCTCATCTTTCTCCTGCAAGGACATCTGTGGTTGGATTCAGGGCCCATCCCAAATGCGGGATCTCACCTCAAGAGCCTTAGCTTTTTACATCTGCAAAGATCCTTTTTTAAGTGGGGTTCCTCATGGGTTCTGGGGATTAGGACATGTTGTGTCGTTCTGGGGGCCTCCTTTCAGCCCACCACATGCCCTTCCCGTGCCTGGACCAGTCTTCAGCTGTGGTCAGCTATCACCTCTGTGACCATGGGGGTGGGGTGGGGGGGTCACATCTTCACATCTCAGTGAACCCCCCCGCCGAGCAGGGAAGGAGCCTGGGAGTGAGCAAGCGAGGGCATGACTCAGTCACTTGTCACAGGCACCCCTTGCAAAGTAAAACTGCTCACAGATGTCGGCAGTTCTTGGGGCTTCTGTGAGGCAGTGACAAGCACAGGGTGCGGCCTCGGAAGACGAGTGGACCCTGTGCCCTCACAGCCTCTGTGGGGGGGCCGGTGTGCAGGCACCTGTGGGCCTAGAGAGGGGCTCGGGCTGGAATGCAGGGTGAGAGGGTGCGTGGGGCGGGGGGGCGCACAGGGTGGGGGCACATGGGATGGCGCGGGGCAGGAGGGCGTGCTGCTCACTCCCTTGCCCACACAGACATCCAGTACCAGCAGAACTTCTATGCGTGGAGCGCCCCGGGGATCGGCAGGTTCGTGACCTCCATGGCAGCTTCTGGATTTGCCTACCTCAGCCTGCTCTTCCTCATTGAGACCGACACGCTGTGGAGGCTGAAGACCTGCCTCTGTGCCTTCTGGAGGAGGCGGGCACTGGTGAGTGGCCCCCAGCGCTCCCCACACCTCCACCTCCCTCTGGCCTGGGCAGGTGCACGCACGGGAAGGCCGCCGTGCTCACCAGCCCCCGGGCTCTCCAGTCCCAGACCCTGGGGTCCCCACAGGCTCCGTCTTGGTAGAGGCTGTCGGGCCGATGGCCCTCGTGTTTGTCACCTACGTCCTGTCCCACAAACGCAGCCTGGGGAGGAGACTGCACTGGACGGACACAGGAACCCAGGGCAGGGGGTCTGCTCTGACCTGTGAAGACCGCTCTGAGAAGGAGCTTCTGTCCACATAGTACAGCCTCCATGCCCTCACCCGAGGTTCTTGGCTTTCTCGGTGTGTCCTGCACCGTCCTTGCTCCTTGGCAGTCTGCATCTCCTCGGTGCTCATGTCAGCCCTTAAGTCCACCAGCTGTCCTTGTGAAAGCCCCAAGTCAGCACATCAGCGGTCTCAGAGACCCCCACCCTTTGTCCCATGGAAGAGGACCCCCTGAGGTGGGGCTCACCCGTGTGGTCTTTTTCCGGAACAATTAGATGGAAGCGTATGCTCGGACGTCAGCACCTCCTGAGGACCAGGACGTGGTGGATGAAAGGAACCGGGTCCTGGCCCCCAGCATGGATTCCCTGCTGGACACACCTCTGGTTATCAAGGAGCTCTCCAAGGTAAGGTGGGCCTCCCCACACCGGCCCTGGGCAACCCCTTTGGCTGCCTGCAGGCCCCAACACCCGGTGTCCCGCAGGTGTATGAGCAGACGATGCCCCTGCTTGCCGTGGACAAGATCTCCCTTGCAGTCCATAAAGGGGAGTGTTTCGGCTTGCTGGGTTTCAACGGAGCCGGGAAAACCACAACTTTCAAAATGCTGACGGGGGAGGAGACCATCACATCTGGGGACGCCTTTGTCGGGGGCTACAGCATCAGCTCTGAAATTGGGAAGGTGGGTGTAGCCAGAGAGGCGGGAAGAGGGGGCCCCGTGGAGGCAGGGATGAGGCTCGTTTCTGGCTCACAGTGCATGAACAGGAGGACGAGGTGGTGACCGAGGCCAGAGCGAAGCAGTGGGGAGGACAGAGGGGACAGGAAGATAAGAGCCCCCTAGGCCCGAAGGGCCCAGGCCACAGCCTCTCTCTGGGAAACCGCTTCTCTGGACCCGGGGCCGTGGTGCTCACAGCACTGTGCAGTCCATGTGCACAGATTGATCATAACGGTGCCCTGAGCTGCTCAGACCAGGCATTCCACCAAGAATCAAAGCTGGGTAAAATGTCAGTGACAAAGCTCATTGTTAAGAGCATTGTAGAGCCCGCTGCACAGTGAGGAGCCCCGGCCAAAATTCTTGTGCCCCGAGAGGCACGGCAGGTTCCACCTCTGCAGAGAGCACACGGTGCTCCTGGCCCCCGGGGCACAGGTTTCAGGGCCTCATTGAGTGAAGGGGAGAAACCGAAGCCCGGGGCCCCCACGGTAGGGTGAGAAATGAGACTTTCTCCACGTGGGGCCAGGTAAGGATGAACCAGGCTGCCCTCCCACTCTCTGCGCCCCTGGGGATTGGGTGGGGGTCCTCTGTGTGCCGAGGGGAGGAGCAGAGCCTGGGCCAGGGCCTGGGGGCAAGCGTGTGTCCCGCCTGGCAGTGGGGGCTTCTAGTCCGCCGTGCCCGCAGAGTGCCGCCCACATTGTCTGGAGGAAGGCCTTCCTCTGAGGCCCCCAAGAAGCCCCAAAAAGTGTTCCAGGGCCTGTGGGCAGTTCATGCACACTGAGAAACAAAGGAAGCATGGCCCCATGTCAAGAACCCGCAGGAGAAAAAAGCCCAGCACTATAGATTTGCCTCCGCCAGACCCGGATTCTAAAACACCTGTGTTTACAGTGTTTAGAGAAACAAACAAGTTCAGACACACAGGCAGAAAAGAGAAAACCATAAACACGTCTTAGAAGCTGGAGAGGGAGGAGACTCGTCCATTTGTCTGGTCTGAGCTCCAGGGGATGGGAGAGCACGGGGACCGGTACTGAGTGATGGGGCAGCGGCAGAGAGAGTGTGTTCCTGGGCGGGCTGAAGCCGAGGAGCCCTCAGGAGAGTAAGGAGAGAGAACCCTGCCCGGAATCCACAGACCAACCCCAGGCTCTCCGGCCCTTCGCCTGCTGCTGCAATAGCCGGGGAGACGGTGTGGCTGCGGGGGGTCCACGTGACCCCTGCCCCAGAGGCGCCGCCCACAAACCCCTCCTTGATCAGCGGGAGCAGAGGGCAAGGGTTTACACGCCCCGCGCCTGTTTAATATCTGACGGGTACAGGAGCGGTGATGCAGATGTCACAGCGATGGTGCCTTGTGCTCCTGCCCACCCTGCATGCCGTGGCCACATTGGCTCCTGCAGTCTCTGGCGCCTAGGGGTGGGGCGGGATGTGTGCCCGGGCATCCACGAGCTGGCCAGGACCCTCCGGTGTCCCTGACAAAGTGCAGCATGGGGGCCGCCGGGGCCTGTCCACCGCCGGGCTGCCCCACACAGATCCATGGGGAGAAACCTGGAGGAGCCCCCCCTCTGACCTGCTGCACCCCCTGCACCCCACCTCCAGGTGCGGCAGCGGATCGGCTACTGCCCCCAGTTTGACGCTCTGCTGGACCACATGACGGGCCGGGAGACGCTGGTCATGTACGCCCGGCTTCGGGGCATCCCGGAGCGCCACATCGGCGCCTGCGTGGAGAACACGCTCCGGGGCCTGCTTCTGGAGCCGCACGCCAACAAGCTGGTCAGGACGTACAGGTGCGGCTACACTCCAGCCCCCTAACCGCCCCGTGCCACAGTGACTCCCGCGCCCCTGGGGTGGAGTCTGAGTCTCCCTTACTGTAAAGCTGGTGGCAGCCGAACAGGTCTGGGGCCAGAGCTCCCACCCGTCGTTCCAGGATCAGATGGGGATCTGGCGGCATGACCCAGGCA